ACACATACACACGCCAGACACACGCCACACCACACACACGCCACGCACACACCCCGGTGGTCTCCGAGTTCGACACAGCAGCATCCCGCAAATCGCGATGGCGGTCGATTTCCCGAAGTCACAGAAGGCGCCCATGCTTCCCATCAATCTCTCGGAGGACTTCATGTTCGCCTTACGGAAGTTCTGCGGCACCTACGGCAACAAGACCATGACCCAGCCTGCCCTCAAGATGCTTCAGTCGATACCACTCGTCCACTCTGCTCTAGCAGTCAAGGAGGCAGACAAAATGTCTGCAGCACAGCGAAACCTGGCAGCGTCAAAGTGCATGCAAGAGATCGCGGTTCCTGGTTTCATCAAGCTCATCGAGCACGCCCTGAGCATCATGGGCGGGCCGCTGCAGATGCCTCACAAGTGGAAGGTCATGGTGTACTACACGAGCCTTGGTTCAGGTGTGTATCTAATGTGGCTACATCAATTCGTAACACGTACCGAAGACTCATGTTGTGGTGTGCTGGTCGTGTGATGGCACGCCCGACCATCATGTGGAATGTAGCAACAAGTTGCGACGGCTTTTTTTATTTTGAACTTATTGCAGACGTACTCATGAACACAGCAGTAGAGTAGGCATGCCATGCGAGTGAAAGGACGCACGTGCGGGCTTTCTCTGTCCACCGAATGAGAAATACAGGTGCTGTGGGAGAGGTCGATTGGACCGGAGCTGGCATTTTGGCATGTGCGACGCACATACATCATCTGAAGAGGAGTGAGTGTAGATAATTTTGATCAAGCGGTTGCAGGTGCACCACGTGTGGTGTTCGTGAAAGGCAGTACCAGCGATCCACCTGCCACCTGCTATGTGAGGATTATGGATAGGNCAGGTGCTGTGGGAGAGGTCGATTGGACCGGAGCTGGCATTTTGGCATGTGCGACGCACATACATCATCTGAAGAGGAGTGAGTGTAGATAATTTTGATCAAGCGGTTGCAGGTGCACCACGTGTGGTGTTCGTGAAAGGCAGTACCAGCGATCCACCTGCCACCTGCTATGTGAGGATTATGGATAGTTCTAGCCACCTTTTGCAACACGGGTTGGAGTC